CCAGAGGGGAGTGGAGAACGGGGTCCAGAGGGGAGAGGAGAACGGGGTCCAGAGGAGAGAGGAGAACGGGGTCCAGAGGAGAACGGGGTCCAAGAGGAAAGAGGAGAAACAGGGTCCAGAGGGGAGAGGAGAACGGGGCCCAGAGGAGAACGGGGTCCAGAGGAGAGAGGAGAAACGGGGTCCAGAGGGAACGGGGGTGTCCAGAGGAGAGAGGAGAACGGGGTTCCAGAGGAAAGAGGATAAACGGTGTTCCAGAGGGGGAGGAGGAGAACGGGACGGGGTCCAAGAGGGGAGTGGAGAACGGGGTCCAGAGGGGAGAGGAGAACGGGGGGTCCAGAGGCGAGAGGAGAACGGGCGGTCCAAGAGGAGCGAGGGAGCGATCGGGGTCCAGAGGGAAAAGGAGGAGAACGGTTGTCCCAGGGGGAGTGGAGAACGGGGGTCCAGAGGGGCGAGGAGAACCGGGGTCCAGAGGGAGAACTGGGGGGTCCATGAGGAACAAGAGGAGAACGGGGTCCAGAGGGGAGAGGAAGAACGGGGGTCTCCAGAGGAGAACGGGGGTCCAGAGGAGAGAGGAGAACGGGGTCCCCAGAGGAGGAGAACGGGGGGGTTCCAGAGGAGAGAGGAGAACGGGGTCCAGAGGGGGAGAGGAGAACGGGGTCCAGAGGAGAGAGGAGAACGGGTCCAGAGGAGGAGAGGAGAACGGGGTCCAGAGGAGAGAGGAGAACGGGGGTCCAGAGGGGAGAGGAGAACGGGGTCCAGAGGAAAGAGGAGAACGGGGGTCCAAGGGGGAGAGGAGAACGGGGTCCAGAGGGGAGGAGGAGAACGGGGTCCAGAGGGGAGAGGAGAACGGGGTCCAGAGGGGAGAGGAGAACGGGGTCCAGAGGGGAGAGGAGAACGGGGTCCAGAGGGGAGAGGAGAACGGGGTCCAGAGGGGAGAGAACGGGGTCCAGAGGGGAGAGGAGAACGGTGTCCAGAGGAAAGAGGAGAACGGGGTTCCAGAGGGGAGTGGAGAACGGTGTCCAGAGGAAAGAGGAGAACGGGGTCCAGAGGGGAGAGGAGAACGGGGGTTCCAGAGGGGAGAGGAGAACGGGGTCCAGAGGGAAAGAGGAGAACGGGGGTCCAGAGGGAGAGTGGAGAACGGGGTCCAGAGGAAAGAGGAGAACGGGGTCCAGAGGGGAGAGGAGAACGGGGTCCAGAGGAGAACGGGGTCCAGAGGAGAGAGGAGAACGGGGTCCAGAGGAGAACGGGGTCCAGAGGAGAGAGGAGAACGGGGTCCAGAGGGGAGAGGAGAACGGGGTCCAGAGGAGAACGGGGTCCAGAGGAAAGAGGAGAACGGGGTCCAGAGGGGAGAGGAGAACGGGGTCCAGAGGGGAGAGGAGAACGGGGTCCAGAGGAGAGAGGAGAACGGGGTCCAGAGGAAAGAGGAGAACGGGGTCCAGAGGGGAGAGGAGAACGGGGTCCAGAGGAGAGAGGAGAACGGGGTCCAGAGGGGAGAGGAGAACGGGGTCCAGAGGGGAGAGGAGAACGGTGTCCAGAGGAGAGAGGAGAACGGGGTCCAGAGGAAAGAGGAGAACGGGGTCCAGAGGAAAGAGGAGAACGGGGGGGGTCCAGAGAGGAGAGGAGAACGGTGTCCAGAGGGGGAGGAGGGAACGGGGGTCCAGAGGGGAGAGGAGAACGGTGTCCAGAGGAGAGAGGAGAACGGGGTCCAGAGGAAAGAGGAGAACGGGGTCCAGAGGAAAGAGGAGAACGGGGTCCAGAGGAAAGAGGAGAACGGGTCTATTGATACAAACACTGACTTTTTATTTATTATTTCTTTGTGTCTTGGTAAATACCGGCAGCGTTTCTAGGACCAGCTCCCTGAGAAGGTTTACCACATGCCAGAGGTCAAACACTCTCCTAACTGACATGTCCACAATGCAGTCAAAATGCATTAAAAAAAAGATGGGTTATATAATGTCAAAGGACACACGGATGCACAGATGGGCCAAGGGGAAAGGATAAGGGTGGGATGAGGCCAGATAGAGGTGAAACTACAGGGCAAAACTCATTCACTCTTCAAGAGCTGTCAATCAAACAAACAAACTAATTGTCAATCAAGGTGTTTGCCAATTAGAAATCAGTCACAAGGGCCACTGACTTATGCTTCAACAGGGATATGGCCAGTTAGAAGTTTATGTTGCAAAAGGAACCTAATTTACTGTCAATCAGCAATCAGTCAAAGCCACACTAGACAGTAGGTGTCCATACCAAAACAGTAGAACGTTTCTACCAAACCAGGCGATCGTGCTGCATAAGTCTCATGCTCTGTGGTCATGGTTACGGGGTTATGGTCAGCCACACACTGTACTTACCGGTAGTCTAGCGTGTTCTACGGCACTACCCTACGGGAGAGAGAGCAACCGTTAACCTGGGGGGATGTTGACGACCGTTAAGTAACGGAATTACACGGCCTTAATCCTTATGGGTCAAAGCTAACATATGGAATTGTTTTAAGATGGTCAAAATCAAGGATTAAGCTATTTGATTTGGAAATTTAGGACCCCTTTAGGTATCCAAAAAATCCACCAAAATATTTGATTAAACATTTAAATTTGGCCTTACTGCTATTAGCCCATAGAAAAACAGATTGTCCCAAAATATTTTTGGGACCCATATTTCATAACAAATTGGGCACTACACTACGTCCATATATAAACTGAACAAAAATATAAACGCAACATGTAAAGTGTTGGTCCCATGTTTCATGAGCTGAAATAAAAGATCCCAGAAATTTTCCATACGCACAAAAAGCTTATTTCTCTCAAATTTGGTGCACCGATTTGTTTACATCCCCTGTTAGTGAGCATTTCTCCTTTGCCAAGATAATCCATCCACCTGACAGGTGTGGCATATCAAGAAGCTGATTAAACAGCATGATCATTACACAGGTGCACCTTCTGCTGGGGACAATAAAATAGCACCCTAAAATGTGCAGTTTCATCACACAACACAATGCCACAGATGTCTCAAGGTTTGAGGGAGCGCGCAATTGGCATGCTGACTGCAGGAATGTCCACCTCAAACACCGTTTTGTAGAATTTGGCAGTACGTCCAACCGGCCTCAGAACCGCAGACCACGTGTACGGCGTCGTGTGGGCGAGCGGTTTGCTGATGTCAACGTTGTGAACAGAGTGCCCCATGGTGGCGGTGGGGTTATGGTATGGGCAGACATAAGTGAAGGACAACGAACACAATTGTATCTTATTGATGGCAATTTGAATGCACAGAGATACCGTGACGAGATCCTGAGGCCCCATTGCAAGACCATTTTGTTTAAGGTCTCTGTGACCAACAGATGCATATCTCTATTCCCACTCATGTGAAATCCTTAATGAATTTATTTCAATTGACTGATTTTCTTATATGAATCATAACTCAGTAAAATCTTTGAAATTGTTGCATGTTGCGTTTATATTTTTGTTCAGTATACTTCCATAATTTTTTTTTAACTGGTACCGGGGGCTACCTTCAGACGAGTCGTGAGGCTTGTGGTCGCCTTTCCATAGAGTGGTCCTATTAGTTTGTAGGCCAAACCATTCGGACGCTACAGACCTTTTCGTGAGAAGACCGATTTTCGGGATGTCTCATGGTCTGACAAACACCTGCTGTAACTCTGTCACCTTTCACCACAGATGCGGAAGGCCGCCATTGGTGGATGCGGTGGATTGAGATACAGTGTATCTCTAGTTTAAATTCATTTGATTTCCGTGGGGATTAAGAAGGGTCAAGGGTTATAGAGGTGAAAGGTAATTTGGAAGACATCCCATTACGTTCAGGGAACGCTTTCTGAACCGCTTGCGGTCCGGTCGACACCGTGGCTTCACTGATTGGACTGTGGTCAGAAGTGGGTTGTGGTCCGGTCGACACCGTGGCTTCACTGATTGGACTGTGGTCAGAAGTGGGTTGCGGTCCGGTCGACACCGTAGCTTCACTGATTGGACTGTGGTCAGAAGTGGGTTGTGGTCCGGTCGACACCGTGGCTTCACTGATTGGACTGTGGTCAGAAGAGGGTTGTGGTCCAGTCGACACCGTGGGTTCACTGATTGGACTGTGGTCAGAAGTGGGAGAGTGTGTTGACTGATGTGATTGAGAGTGTGTTGACTGATGTGATTGAGAGTGTGTTGACTGATGTGATTTAGGGTCGTTTTATGCTACGTGTCTGGAACACAATATGGGTGCAAGTTCATAAACATACAAGCTGCTGTGTCACGTGATCTCTTTCTTCGTAACAGTCGTCGACAGGTCAGGTTCACATCAGTGTGTGTGTGTGTGTGTGTGTGTGTGAGGACTGGAGAAGGTCACGAGGGCCAGGGGTCAAGATAAAATATTAGTAAGAGGAGAGGTAGGATCAGGGTCAAATATTAGTAAGAGGGAGAGGATGAGAAGGGCAGAAAGTGAGAACGGGAAAGAGGAGAGGGTGATTGGAAATGAGAGAAGGTAAGGAGTTGAGGGATTTAAGGAGGAAACTGGAAGCGGGAGAAAGTTGATGGATTAATTCCAGTCCAGTGAAAAGGTTAGCCCTTCCCTGACCTTATGGAATAGAAGCTCACTATGGGGAATGTTCCGGACTGTTCTTTATGTTCCGGAGTGTAGCTCCCTGGTTAGCTCCATAGCGCCTAAAACCTTTTAGATTAAGGTTAGAAACCCAGAGTTCTTAGGGGCAAAGCATCTAATGGGGCCCCCATAACACTTAGCCCCAGCACCATGTGTATTCAATGTGATCGCCTAATGCCAAGCTTCCCTAACTGGTTTTATTTGCCCCCCCCCCCCCCAAGTTTTCTTAGCAAAGACATAAGTATATATATAGGCCTTTATATAAAATGTTAAAATGTTCATTGTTGGACATAAAAAGACTTTAAAACACCAGGAAATCAGCTATTCCCACGCATAATAGAGACCTGATGGTGTAGAGAGGCTCCGCGCTGTGTGTGTCGTTTCCTGCCGTGTGCGTGTGCACTTACCGGCAGGTGTGTGAAGACCGAGAAGGTGGAACAGAGGAAGGCTATGAGGTCACTCAGGTAGTCGCTGGGAGCTCCGCCCCCCTGGGCTGCTGTCCAATCATAGTCAGCCAGCTGGAGGAACTGGTCGATCTTGGCGTTCAGATTGGTGTAGATCTCCTCTTCTGCTGCGTGTCTGGCGTCCTGGAGCAGAGAGACATTTTGGGGTTTCAGCTGGGTAAAGCACCTTATGACAACTGCTGATGTAAAAAGGGCTTTAATAAAATAAAATGTGATTGATTGATTGACTGGTTGATTGATTGAGAGGGGGTGGGGAGAGATGGAGATTGATGTTGAGATCAAGAGAAACAGAGATGGAGGGAAAGTTTGTGAGATATCGGGATCACTACAAGAGAGAAGGCTGTGTGTCCGTGCGTTTTCACCTTAAACGTGGAAGTCCCATAGAGCTTGGTAGCATTGGCGGTATCAGTTGGAACGTTAGTGATGTTGGAGATGAACTCCTCCAGGTAGACACAGGATGCCTCCAGATGGGTAGTGTTGATGATCACCTGAACCAGCTAGATACACACACAGAATACCAGCCTGAATATCAACCCCACAAAACCAACCCTCAACCCTGCCTGGCGCCCCTATAGACACATAAGGTCTGTAACATCATAACTGACCACTTATTCATATTTTCTGTCTCACACACAGAGACACAGTGAGACACAGAGACAGAGAGACAGAGAGACAGAGAGACAGAGAGAGACAGAGAGACAGAGAGACAGAGAGAGAGACCGAGACAGAGAGAGAGAGAGAGACAGACAGAGACAGAGAGACGACAGAGACGAGAACAGAGAGAACCCGAGACAGAGAACAGAAGAGACAGACAGAGAAAAGAGAGAGAAGAGAGACACGAGACAGAGGACAGAAGAGACAGAGAAGAGACCGAAAGGAGACAGAGAAGCAACCAGACGAGAAGGAAAACCAGAGAACAAGAAGAGGAGACAAAGACCAGAGGAAAAAGACGAGAGAAGAGGAGAGACGAGAGAGAGAGGACAGAGAAGAGAAGACAGAAGGAGAAACGGAGACAGAGAAGAAGAAAGACAGAGAGAGAGAAGAGAAGAAGAGAAAGAAACAGAGACAGAGAGAGAAAAAAAGGAGCCCGGGGCATAAGGGGGATAGACAAAGAGACAGGGAGAAAACAAAAAACAAAAGAGACCAGAACAAAAAATACGAGAAAACAAGCAACCAAACCCTAAAAAACCCCTCCCCCTTAAACCCCTTCCCGGGCCCTTGAAAAAAACCCAGACTATTTCCACCCGGTTTCAACTTACCTAATATCTAAATTTTGAAACCAGAACAAAAGAGAACAATTACTTAAAAAGGAGCCAAATGGGGGGGCCGGCAGAGCAGGGAAGACTTTTTGCCACCCCCTAAAGGTCCTTTTTTTAATCCCAGCCGTAGGAAAACTCGGGATTTTCCCTTTAAGAAAGGGCAATTTAAACCCAAAAATTCTCAAATTAAATCCCTCGGGTAAGCTGGAAGAAAAAAAAAATAAATAAACAAAAATAAAAAAAAAGGAGCTTAAAATTAGCACCCCCACAATTTGGTCCTTTTAAAGTCTATCAAAAGTCCAATGAGGCAGGGGAAAGTAAAAAAAAAAACCCTGCCCAAGAAAACAAGGCCCGGAGGCCTGAGGCTAAATGAAGGGGGACAGGAACAGGAGGACAGGGAGGACAGGGGGAAAGGGAGACAGGAGGAAAAAGGAGAAAGGAGGCAGGAGGAGGGGGAAAGATAAGGAAAATAGGGGGGACAGGAAAGGGGACAGACAGGAAGGAAACAGGATTGTTTTCTCTTTGTATTTTTTGGAAAAGGGAAAAGGGGGAAAAGGAAGCGAGGGAGAAAAGAGCGAGGGAGAGAGCGAGAGGAGCGTTTGGAGAGGCAAAGGGAAGAGAGGGGGGGAAGAGGGCGAGAGAGAGGGGGCCGGAATTGGGAGAGCGAGATAAGCGAGGAAGAAGCGATGAAAGAGCGATGGAGAGAGCGGGGGAGAGAGCGAGGAAGAGAGCGATGGAAAAGGGGCGGGAAAAGAGCGTTTGGAGAGAGCGATGGAGAGAGCGGGATGGGGAGAGAGCGTGGAAAATAAGCGAGGAAGAGCGGGAAATGGAAAGAGCGTTTGGAAATTTGGGGTTGGAAATGTTTAATGAGAGGGGCCGGCTCCCCTTTCCCCCCCCTGGGGAGGCAAGGGGAGTTTTCCCCCCCTGGGGGGGTACCCTTCCCCCCCGGTGGCCCTATGGCTAACCAACACTATTCACCGTAACCCACACCCACTAGTCTGGCGGTACACCTTATCCCAACACCCCACTAGGGCTGTTGCCGGTACACCGTATAAACCAACAACCACACCCAGGCTGGCCGGTACCCGTATTACCAACCCACCCACAAGGCTGCCTTCCACCGTATACCAACCCACACCCTAGTTCTGGCCGTTACACCGTATAACCAACACACACACTAGGGCTGGCCGTACAAACCGTATACCACACACACACACAACACTAGGAGGGCTGGCCGGTACAAAAAACAAAAGGCAACCGTATAACCAACACACCCACACACACTAGGGCGGCCGGTAAACAACACAGACCGATACCAACACACCCCACACCCACTAGGCTGGGCCGTACAAAAAAAACCGTATAACCAAACACACACACACTAGGGCTGGCCGGTACACCGTATACCAAACACACACACTAGGGCTGGCCGGTACACCGTATACCAACACACACACACTAGGGCTGGCCGGTACACCGTATACCAACACAAACACACACCTAGGCTGGCCGGTACAACCGTATACCAACACACACACACTAGGGCTGGCCGGTAAACCGTATACCAACACACACACTAGGGCTGGCCGGTACACCGTATTTTCCCATATACCAGAATTGATGCACGGACCGGTTTGGATTTTAACTTTACCTAAAACAATGTTTTGTTTGTTAAATGTAATATAAATGTAAAACTGAGTGATAAACCTGAAAAATATGGTAATTGTCAGTTCTTACTGGCAGTAAGAGACGGCTAACAGTTGAAACAGCTCATCTGCTAGCTTCAGGCGTGGACAGGTACACCGCTATAGTTGAAACAGCTCATCTGCTAGCTTCAGTGTGGACAGGTACACCGCTCTAATAGTTTTAAACGCTCATCTGCTAGCTTCAGGTGTGGCCAGTACACCGCTCATCTGCTAGCTTCAGGTGTGGACAGGTACCACCGCTAATAGTTTAAACAGCTCATCTGCTAGCTTCAGGTGTGGACAGGTACACGCTAATAGTTGAAACAGCTCATCTGCTAGCTTCAGGTGTGGACAGGTACACGCTAATAGTTTAAACAGCTCATCTGCTAGCTTCAGGTGTGGACAGGTACACCGCTAACAGTTGAAACAGCTCATCTGCTAGCTTCAGGTGTGGACAGGTACACCGCTAATAGTTGAAACAGCTCATCTGCTAGCTTCAGGTGTGGACAGGTACACCGCTAATAGTTGAAACAGCTCATCTGCTAGCTTCAGGTGTGGACAGGTACACCGCTAATAGTTGAAACAGCTCATCTGCTAGCTTCAGGTGTGGACAGGTACACCGCTAATAGTTTGAAACAGCTCATCTGCTAGCTTCAGGTGTGGACAGGTACACCGTAATAGTTGAAACAGCTCATCTGCTAGCTTCAGGTGTGGACAGGTACACCGCTAACAGTTGAAACAGCTCATCTGCTAGCTTCAGGTGTGGACAGGTACACCGCTAACAGTTTGAAACAGCTCATCTGCTAGCTTCAGGTGTGGACAGGTACACCGCTAACAGTTGAAACAGCTCATCTGCTAGCTTCAGGTGTGGACAGGTACACCGCTAATAGTTGAAACAGCTCATCTGCTAGCTTCAGGTGTGGACAGGTACACCGCTAATAGTTTAAACAGCTCATCTGCTAGCTTTAGGTGTGGACAGGTACATTGTTGCAATGAATATTGCGTGTGAGGCAGTGCTGGTGCCAAAAAGCACCCTAGAAATAGGAATAATGCCCCTTGTGGCAAAAGTAAGAACTGCCATTGAATCCAATGAAAATACAGTCACTAACCTTTTTAAATGCGAGTAAAGTACATGTCGGATAATTATACATTTTTAATTATTATTATTTTACGACAGGGCTGATGGAAACAGCAAATGTGTAAATTTCCAAATGTCAACAAAACAAAATACACTAGACAAGCTGGGATATTTTTGTGTCTGTAAAATCAATGAAAAATAGCAGCAGAAATGCTTTTATGCACAAATATTCATGTAATAACCATTATATCAAAGTAAGAGCGTCTGCTAAATGACTAAAACATAAGTGTAAAATGTAAATATTGTGTGTCTCCTCCCACTACGACTCCAGAAACCATGCAGTTTTCTAGCTACAGATGAAATAAGTTACGATGAACTTCACATGGTGGTGAAAGTGCACGGTGATGAGCTTGATGCTCCTTTCCAATAAATATCAAGGGTCCTAAACTCTTCAGGTCACACGATGATCGATGCTTGGCAGCAGTTTGACAAATTTAAATAATCTTGCTCTTTGGTCCATAATAATAATAATATGCCATTTAGCAGACGCTATTATCCAAAGCGACTTACAGTCATACGTGCATACATTTTTTGTGTATGGGTGGTCCCGGGGATCGAACCCACTACCTTGGCGTTACAAGCGCCGTGCCCTACCAGCTGAGCTACAGAGGACCACAAATGATAATCCATAATAATCTCATCATGTAGATAGCCTAACCTGCACTGTATCTGCCAGCTGTTGGCTAGAGTGCCTAGACTAGAGTGGGCACAATCGCTATATAACGCAAATTTGTTTGTGACAAAACCCTCAATAGAGTTGAAAATACGATGTAAACCCATTTAACTTGTATATTTTATTCGGTACATGACAATTTAACAGCAAAAATTAGTTTCTATGTTCGCTACGTCCTCACATCACTTTTATCCACAGTGAATTTGATGCATCTCTGGTGGAAGAATTAGCATATTGTTTTTAATGCCGATTTCACAATATTCGCATGAAACTCTGTCGCCATGGAAACCTACTGGTCGCCATGGAAACATACCGGTCGCCATGGAAACCTACTGGTCGCCATGGAAACCTACCTAGGATGGAAACCTACTGAGGATAATAGTTATTCTGATAAAGGAAGTGATACAAAGACAAAAACAAATGTGTAACAGTATAAAATAAATACTAACAAATTAATTAATTAAGAAATGCAGAAATGTATGACAAAGCTGAAATATGTTTTTGGTTGAAGTATGATTATATCAGTATAAAACAATCAGAAGAGATTGAGCCCCATTAATATCACTCAGAATGTACAGTCGTGGTCAAAAGTTTTGAGAATGACACAAATACTAAGTTTCACAAAGTCTGCTGCCTCAGTTTTGATGATGGCAAGTCCCTCTTTGCCATGAAAATGAACTTAATCCCCCAAAAAAACTTTCCACTGCATTTCAGCCCTGCCACAAAAAGGACCAGCTGCCATCATGTCAGTGATTCTTTCGTTAACACAGGTGAGAGTGTTGACGAGGACAAGGCTGGAGATCACTCTGTCATGCTGATTGAGTTAGAATATCAGACTGGAAGCTTTAAAAGGAGGGTGGTGCTTGAAATCATTGTTCTTCCTCTGTTAACCATGGTTACCTGCAAGGAAACACATGCCGTCATCATTGCTTTGCACAAAAAGGGCTTCACAGGCAAGGATATTGCTGCTAGTAAGATTGCACCTAAATCAACCATTTATCGGATCATCATGAACTTCAAGGAGAGAGGTTCAATTGTTGTGAAGAAGGCGTCAGGGCGCCCAAGAAAGTCCAGCAAGCACCAGGACCGTCTCCTAAAGTTGATTCAGCTGTGGGATCGGAGCACCTCCAGTGCAGAGCTTGCTCAGGAATGGCAGCAGGCAGATGTGAGTGCATCTGCACGCACAGTGAGGCGAAGACTTTTGGAGGATGGCCTGGTGTCAAGAAGGGCAGCGAGGAATCCACTTCTCTCCAGGAAAAACATCAGGGACAGACTGATATTCTGCAAAAGGTACAGGGATTGGACTGCTGAGGACGGGGGTAAAGTCATTTTCTCTGATGAATCCCCTTTCCGATTGTTTGGGGCATCCGGAAAACACCTTGTCCAGAGAAGACAAGGTGAGCGCTACCATCAGTCCTGTGTCATGCCAACAGTAAAGCATCCTGAGACCATTCATGTGTGGGGTTGCTTCTCAGCCAAGGGAGTGGGCTCACTCACAATTTTGCCGAAGAACACAGCCATGAATAAAGAATGGTACAAACACATCCTCCGAGAGCAACTTCTCCCAACCATCCAAGAACAGTTTGGTGACGACCAATGCCTTTTCCAGCATGATGGAGCACCTTGCCATAAGGCAAAAGTGACAACTAAGTGGCTCGGGGAACAAAACATCAACATTTTGGGTCCATGGCCAGGAAACTCCCCAGACCTTAATCCCATTGAGAACTTGTGGTCGATCCTCAAGAGTCGGGTGGACAAACAAAAACCCACAAATTCTGACAAACTCCAAGCATTGATTATGCAAGAATGGGCTGCCATTAGTCAGGATGTGGCCCAGAAGTTAATTGACAGCATGCCAGGGCGGATTGCAGAGCGTGTGCTGGCCCCGACACTCGAGCAGTCGGGAGGGGAATAGGGTGGAATAGGGGGGGAGGGGGGGGGGATAAAGGGGGGTATAAGTGGGGGGGTTACATCTACCCTTTTTCTTTCTACCTGTCCCTGTTCTGTATGTCGTGTTTTGTAATATTTGTTTTGTGTCCAGAACTCTGGGTCTTGTTGTTCATGTCTGTTCTCTTATGTTTAGATAAGAACTGTACACATGTCTTTCATACCTATACACCATTCTTGTGTGTGTTCAATAAAAAAATATTTGAACAGAAAAAGAAGGGTCAACACTGCAAATATTGACTCTTTGCATAAAGAGCCTCTTGTGGCTGAATGGAAGCAAGTCCCTGCAGCAATGTTCCAACATCTAGTGGAAAGCCTTCCCAGAAGAGTGGAGGCTGTTATAGCAGCAAAGGGGGGATCAACTCCATATTAATGCCCATGATTTTGGAATGAGATGTTCGACGAGCAGGTGTCCATATACTTTTGTAGTGTATGTGTTGCCACACATTGAGTCATGCACTACTCAAAGCATATTTAGAACTTTTGTTTATTAAATACATAAAATACCATCATACCTTCAAAAACTAGAAAAATATTGTGGTATGATATTTTGGCCATAACGCTGAGCCCACCCACACATACACACCAAATCCCTAAATTGTGTTATTGTGTTGAGACTGATGGGACGACAAGAATCCAAAAAATGTTCCCTGAGCTCCGGGGGGGAAAGAGAGAATTCCAAACAACGTTCCAATGATTCCGAGGGAGAAAAATTCCTCAAGTGCAATTTGATGACTTGGCAAAAAGAGACCAGAGAGAGAGAGAGAGAGAGAGAGAGAAAACAGAGCGAGAGAGAGAGACAGACAGACAGACAGGTCTTTAGATAATTTGACACACAGAGAATAAATCTAGCTAACAATCAATATTACTCTTAAACACCCAAACACACACCCAGCTCCCTACCTACCACACACACCCAGCTCCCTCCCTAGATACCACACACACCCAGCTCCCTGCCTAGATACCACACACACCCAGCTCCCTACCTAGATACCACACACACCCAGCTCCCTACCTAGATACCACACACACCCAGCTCCCTACCTAGATACCACACACACCCAGCTCCCTACCTAGATACCACACACCACCCAGCTCCCTACCTAGACACCACCACACCCACTCCCTACCTAGATACCACACCACCCAGCTCCCTACCTAGATACCCACACACACCCAGCTCCCTACCTAGATACCAACACACAACCCAGCTCCCTACCTAGATACACACACCCAGCTCCCTACCTAGACACCACACCACCCAGCTCCCACCTAGATACCACACACACCCAGCTCCCTGCCTAGATACCACACACACCCAGCTCCCTGCCTAGATACCACACACACCCAGCTCCCTGCCTAGATACCACACACACCCAGCTCCCTGCCTAGATACCACACACACCCAGCTCCCTGCCTAGATACCACCACACACCAGCTCGCCTACCTAGATACCACACACACCCCAGCTCCCTACTAGACACCACACACACCCAGCTCCCCTACCTAGATACCAACACACACCCAGCTCCCTACCTAGATACCACACACACCCAGCTCCCTACCTAGATACCACACACACCCAGCTCCCTACCTAGACACCACACACACCCAGCTCCCTACCTAGATACCACACACACCCAGCTCCCTACCTAGATACCACACACACCCAGCTCCCTACCTAGATACCACACACACCCAGCTCCCTACCTACACACGCACACCCAGCTCCCTACCTACCACACACACCCAGCTCCCTACCTAGATACCACACACACCCAGCTCCCTACCTAGATACCACACACACCCAGCTCCCTACCTAGATACCACACACACCCAGCTCCCTACCTAGATACCACACACACCCAGCTCCCTACCTAGATACCACACACACCCAGCTCCCTACCTAGACACCACACACACCCAGCTCCCTACCTAGATACCCCACACACCCAGCTCCCTGCCTAGATACCACACACACCCAGCTCCCTGCCTAGATACCACACACCACCCAGCCTGCCCTGCCTAGATACCACACCACACCCAGCTCCCTGCCTAGATACCACACACACCCAGCTCCCTGCCTAGATACCACACACACCCAGCTCCCTACCTAGATACCCACACACCCAGCTCCCTACCTAGACACCACCACACACCAGCTCCCTACCTAGATACCACACACCACCCAGCTCCTACTAGATACCAACACACACCCAGCTCCCTACCTAGATACCACACACACCCAGCTCCCTACCTAGACACCACACACACCCAGCTCCCTACCTAGATACCACACACCCAGCTCCCTACCTAGATACCACACACACCCAGCTCCCTACCTAGATACCACACACACCCAGCTCCCTACCTAGATACCACACACACCCAGCTCCCTACCTAGATACCACACACACCCAGCTCCCTACCTAGACACCACACACACCCAGCTCCCTACCTAGACACCACACACACCCAGCTCCCTCCCTAGATACCACACACACCCAGCTCCCTACCTAGATACCACACACACCCAGCCTCCCTACCTAGATACCACACACCCAGCTCCCAACCTAGATACCACACACACCCAGCTCCCTACCTAGATACCACACACACCCAGCTCCCTACCTAGATACCACTATAGTAGCCTATATTCTCAAAAGGTACAGGAGTTGGGGTCTTGTGTGTGTGAGATCCACGATCAAAGGAAGGAGATTCAGACAGAGTTGAGCTGTGGAAATCAGGAAGGAATATCATTGCCGTTGCCGTTGCCGGCCGCGACCGGGAGACCCATGGGGCGGCGCACAATTGGCCCAGCGTCGTCCAGGGTAGGGGAGGGAATGGCCGGCAGGGATGTAGCTCAGTTGATAGAGCATGGCGTTTGCAACGCCAGGGTTGTGGGTTCGATTCCCACGGGGGGCCAGTATGAAAAATAATGTATGCACTCACTAACTGTAAGTCGCTCTGGATAAGAGCGTCTGCTAAATGACTAAAATGTAAATGTAAATATAATATTAGGATAAGAGACAGAAAATAAAGTGGGAGGAGAAAGAAGAATTCCTGCTGTCCATCTGTCCATCTGTTCGTTTATTTCTGTCCGTCCGTAAGCCGTTCTGATTACACACACACTATCAGATTCCATATAACCAGTGCAATACAATAGATAATACCATCGAATGTATAATCACTCATGTCCAACATGCTACGTTAAAAACTACAACAAAACATTCAAAAATATCACTGGCAAGATATTCTCTATTCTCGTTCACTAACTGAAGTGATGTTCAGAACGCATATCTACTATCTATCAATGCCAGACATTACATGTAGCTATAGAGGGGAAGGAAAATGGATACTTTGGTAACTTCTCCAACCTTTTCAACATTCACTGCATATTTGGATCTCAACTGTCAACAGAACCACAACATAATGTAGCCCCCCCACACACACACACACACACACACACACACACACACACACACACACAACAAAACCACAAAATATTGTAGCTAGGGGTTGGAATGAAATAGTAGCCTGACCAAACCAGACCTTGAACTAAACTCAACTCTGAAGTCATCGCCCACTCTGTAATCGTCTAGCTGACCTTCCGGAATTATCTGACAATCAGACACAGGTAATTGTTCTCCTCATCACCATAACGACTCAGTGATTTGGCCTGGCCCCGTATCCACGGTTACGCCAGCTATCCCGTTACAACGACGGCGACACACCTTCCTGCCCTGATGTGCACACACACACACTTAAATATTAGAAGGCGGAAACTAGCCAGACCCCCATTTCCATATAAGAGGTAACCAGACCTAAATCATGACCAGATCAGGTCATATTAAATCAACTCTGCACCTCCACACCATGAAGCACATTCGTTAAGCCAGAATCCTGGCTATCGATACTCCTTATAGGGTACGTGACCCAATGACCCCTGTCCTTGGCCAGAGTTCCGATTGAAGGGAAAGTGAAGTATGGGGGGATGGAGTGTATCAGAAGAAGGGGAGGGGGGGTGGAGGATAGAGGGAGTGGAGGGGAGGATAGAGGGAGTGGAGGGGGGGATAGAGGGAGGGGAGGATAGAGGGAGTGGGAGGGGAGGATGATGGAGGGGATAGAGGGAAGTGGAGGGAGGATAGAGGGGAGTGGAGGGGAGGATAGAGGGAGTGTGAAGGGGGGGGTTAGAGGGAGTGGAGTAGAGGGAGGGAGGAGAGGATAGAGGGAGTGGGGGGAGCGAGTGAGAGGGAGGGGGAGGGGAGGATAGAGGGAGGGGATGGGGAGGATAGAGGGGAGGGGGAGGGGAGGATGAGGGAAGGGAAGGGGAGGCATAGAGGGAGGGGCGGGGGAAGATAGTAGAGGGAAGGGAGGGGGATGGATAGTAGGGAGGGGAGGATAGAGGGAGTGGAGGGAGATAGAGGGAGGGGAGGGGAGGAGTATAGAGGGAGGGGAGGATAGAGGAGTGGAGGGGGATAGAGGGAGGGGAGAGAGAGGGCATGGGAGGGGAGGATAGATGGAGGGGAGGGGAGGATAGAGGGAGGGAGGGGAGGATGGATCGAGGGAGGGGCAGGGGAGATAGAGGGAGTTGGAGGGGAGGACGAGAGGCCGAAGGGGAGGGGGAGGCTAGAGGGAGGGGCAAGGGAGGATTAGAGGGAGGGGAGGGGGGGGGAGGAAGAGGAGGGGAGGGGGAGGATAGAGGGAGGGGCGGATTAGAGGCGAGGTGGAGGGGGAGGATAGAGGGAGGGGAGGGGAGGATAGAGGGTAGGGGAAAGGGAGGATAGAGGGAGGGGGGCAGGGAGGAATCGAGGTTTCGAGGGGAAGGGAGGATTAGAGGGAGGGGAAGGGAGGATAGAGGGGGGGAGGGGGGGGGATAGAGGAGTGGAGGGGAGGATAGAGGGAAGTAGTGGAGGGAGGATGAGTGGAGGGGAGGATGGAGGATAGAGGGAGGGGAGGGAGAGGATAGAGGGAGTGGAGAGGGAGGATGGGGAGGAGAGGGGAGGATAGAGGGAGTTGGAGGGGGAAGGGCGGGGGGGAGAGATAGAGAGGAGTGGAGGTGAGGGATAGAGGAGTGGAGGTGAGGGATAGAGGAGTGGAGGGGGATAGAGGAGTGGAGGTGGAGGGGGGGGGATTAAGAGGGAAGTGGGGGGGGTAGAGGGATAGTTGGGTAGAGGTGAGTGGAGGAGGGGAGGATAGAGGGAGGGGGAGGGGAGGGAAGAGGGAGGGAGGGGAGGATAGAGGGAGGGGGAGGGGAGGATAGGTAGAGGGAGGGGAGGGGAGGATAGAGGAGGGGGAGGGGAGGATAGAGGGAGTGGAGGGGAGGATTAGAGGAGTGGAGGGGGATAGGAGGGAGTGGAGGGAGGGAGGGGGAGGGATAGAGGGAGTGGAGGGGAGGATAGAGGGAGTGGAGGGGGGGGGGATAGAGGGAGGGGAGGGAGGATAGGGGAGTGGAGGGGGGATAGAGGGAGTGGGAGGGGAGGATAGAGGGGAGGGAGGGGGGATAGAGGGAGTGAGAGGGAGGGGGGAGATAGAGGGAGTGGGAGGGGAAGGATCGAGGGAAGTGGAGGGAGGATAGAGGGAGGGGAGGGGGGATAGAGGGAGGGGAGGGGAGGATAGAGGGAGGGGAGGGGAGGATAGAGGGAGTGGAGGGGGGGATAGAGGAGGGGAGGGGAGGATAGTAGGGCGTTGGAGGGGGGAGATAGAGGGAAGTGGAGCGGGGAGGGGGGATAGAGGAGGGGAGGGGGGGAGGATTAGGAGGGAAGTGGAGGGGAGGTGAGGGATGGAGGGGGAGGATAGAGGGAAGTGGAGGGGAGGATTAGAGGGGTGGAGGGGAGGATAGAGTGTGAGGATAGAGGGAGTGAGGGGTGGATAGAGGGAGTTGGGAGGGGAGGGGGGGAGGGGATAGAGGGAGTGGAGGGGAGGATAGAGGGATAGTGGAGGGGGAGGATAGAGGGAGGGAGGGGGGATAGAGGAGGGGAGGGAGATAGAGGGAGTGGAGGGGGGATTTAGAGGGAGTGGAGGGAGGAAGAGGGAGAGTGGAGGGGGATTAGAGGGAGTGGAGGGGGGTAGAGGGAGTGGAGGGGATGGATTAGAGGGGTGGAGGGGGATAGGGGAGTGGAGGGGAGGATAGAGGGAGTTGGAGGGGGAGGTAGAGGAGTGGAGGGGGGATAGAGGGAGTGGAGGGGGGGATAGAGGGAGTGGGGATAGAGGGAGTGGGGATAGAGGGAGTGGACAAGGATCACATCACAAATCTGGCAGCAGGTCCAGACACTGGGGATTTGTAAACAGGCCCCTCGCCCCCAACCTCCCAAGGACCCTCCCCAATATAACCAATGTCAAACTAAAACCCTGGAGAGAGGTAAGCTTGCCACAATCCAATACATTTCATGCATTCTAGTATGCATTTGAAGTAAAAGTGAGTGACACCAATTGCGTGTGTGTGTGTGTGTGTGTTTACCTGAGGTGAAGGTCTTCATAGTACTTGAGGCAGGCGTAGATGAACTCTTTGAGCTGAGAGTAGACTTTAGGAACAAACTCAGAGAATGGAAGCTTTTTAGGGAACGGAAGCTACAGAGGAGAGAGGGAGAGAGAGACAGAGAGAGACACACAGAGAGAGACACAGAGAGAGAGACACAGAGAGAGACACAGAGAGAGACACAGAGAGAGACACAGAGAGAGACACAGAGAGAGACACACAGAGAAAGACAGAGAGAGAGACACAGAGAGAGACAGAGAGAGAGACACAGAGAGAGACAGAGAGAGACACAGAGAGAGACACAGAGAGAGAGACACAGAGAGAGACACAGAGAGAGACAGAGAGAGAAGAGAGAAATAGGTCAGAGGTTAGACAAGCTCTAATGAAGTCAACTTTCCTGGTCCTAGGGTGTGCAGGCTTTGGTTCCAGTCCAGCACTAATACAATTGATTCAACTAATTAACTCATTATCCAGACTTTGATTAAATGGGTAAGAATACTTTTATGATTACCATTGGTTCATCAAGCACAACTGAAGTATTTCACAGATAACCATACAAAAATGAACAAAAATATCAACCCCTTAACTTTTTCCACATTTTGTTACGTTCCAGCCTTATTCTAAAATGGATTAAATTGTTGTTGTTTTTTTCTCATCAATCTATACACAATACCCCCATAATGACAAATATTCAGACCCTTTACTCAGTACTTTGTTGAAGCACCTTTGGCAGCGATTACAGCCTCGAGTCTTCTTGGGTATGACGCTACAAGCTTGTCACACCTGTATTTGGAGAGTTTCTCCCATTCTTCTCTGCAGATCCTCTCAAGCTCTGTCAGGTTGGATGGGGAGTGTTGCTGCACAGCTATTTTCAGGTCTCTCCAGAGATGTTCGATCGGGTTCAAGTCCGGGCTCTTGCTGGGCCACTCAAGGACATTCAGAGACTTGTCCCGAAGCCACTCCTGCGTTTGTCTTGGCTGTGTGCTTAGGGTCATTGTCCTGTTGGAAGGTGAACCTTCTCCTAAGTCAGAGGTCCTGTGTTCTTGGGGACCTTCAATGCTGCAGAAATGTTTTGGTACCCTTCCCCAGATTGGTGTCTCGACACAATCCTGTCTCGGAGCTCTACGGACAATTCCTTCGACCTCATGGCTTGGTTTCTGCTCTGACATGCACTGTCAACTGTGGGACCTTACATAGACAGGTGTGTGCCTTTCCAAATCATGTCCAATCAATTGAATTTACCACAGGTGGACTCCAATCAAGTTGTAGAAACATCTCAAGGGTGATCAATGGAAACAGGATGCACCGGAGCTCAATTTCGAGTCTCATAGCAAAGGGTCTGAATACTTATGTAAATAAGGTATTTCTGTTTATTTTATAAATTAGCAAACATTTCTAAAAACCTGTTTTCGCTTTGTCATTATGGGGTATTGTGTATAGATTGATGAGGAACATTTAATTTAACCCATTTCAGAAAAAGGCTGTAACGTAACAAAATATGTGGAAAAAGGGGAAGGAGTCTGAATACTTTCCGAATGCACTGTATATCGAACTACTATTCACGCCTTGTCCAGTTCAGGGTCTTGAAGGTCTATACCAGGGGTGTTGAACTCTGACCCTACGAGGTCCGGAGCCTGCTGGCTTTTCTGTTCTACCTGATCATTCATTGCACCACCAGGTGTCACGGGTCTAAATCAGTCCCTGACTAGAGGGGAATCACCCACCTGGTGTCCCAGGTCTAAATCAGGCCCTGATTAGAGGGGAATCACCCACCTGGTGTCCCAGGTCTAAATCAGGCCCTGACTAGAGTGGAATCACCCACCTGGTGTCCCAGGTCTAAATCAGGCCCTGATTAGAGGGGAATCACCCTCCTGGTGTCCCAGGTCTAAATCAGGCCCTGACTAGAGTGGAATCACCCACCTGGTGTCCCAGGTCTAAATCAGGCCCTGACTAGAGTGGAATCACCCTCCTGGTGTCCCAGGTCTAAATCAGGCCCTGACTAGAGGGGAATCACCCTCCTGGTGTCCCAGGTCTAAATCAGGCCCTGACTAGAGGGGTCTATACACTCTAAACTCTGGGTCTTGGAAGGTCTATACACCCTTATCCCTACACCAGGGGTCGTCAGCTAGATCCAGCTGCGGGACCAATGTTTTCTTGAGTGGATGGTCGTGGGGACCGAACATCATTTACAAAGCCCAAACAGATATAATGTTTGACTAAAACATAATACTTTCAAACCTTGCTTACATTTGTATACAAATCAGGTGTTTCTCTATTATGTGTGGGAGAACACTTGGGAACAGACTTCTTACATTAAAATCACTTGGAGCTGATTTCCTGCTATTTTTACAGTCTTTTATGTCCAACAATGAAAATAATAAAAACTTACATATATATATATATTTTCTTCTCACAACTTGGGGTGCCAAATAAAAACCACCCGCAGTTGGGGACCCCTCCACTCTAACCCCTAGTTAGTACCTTGTCCAGTTCAGGGTCTTGGAAGGGGAACTGGGAAGTGAACCGTCTGTGTTCCTCCTCTGTTGCCACGGGGATGGGACTAAAGTTATCCTGATCCAACACCTGCCTAGAGAGAGAGAGAGAGAGAGAGAGAGAGAGAGATGAGAGGAGAGGGAAGGTTAACGCATGGGCACACTATTTATCTTCCTCATCATATATATATATATATATATCTCCCATCCCTCCATCCAAGCTTTTCTGGGTTCGGTGAGATTCCCAGTCCTTCTGAACTCAAGGCGTGTGCCAGAGAGGCTTTCACAGGGATCAGTTGGAACTACGGCCGCTGGGGTTACACAAACACACAGTGTACACACACACACACACACCACACCACACCGCACCACACCGCTGGGGTTGTTCTCCTGTGGTCTGTCTGCTCCTCTCCGGTCTCTTCAGAATGCTGAGAGCGGAGCTCCGAGGTTCCGACATTCCGAACAGCGTTCCAGAGAGAGGCTTTGAACCCTAGTTGTGTGTTATTCCACAAAAGAGGCGACATTTCTGTGGTGTGTGTGTGTGTGTGTGTGTGTGTGTGTGTGTGTGTGTGTGTGTGGGGGGGGGGGGGGGGGGACATTTTTGGGGTTTTCCGTGTTGTTTTACAGCGTATTGAACGTCCCTCTGGCCTTTGGTGAGAAATAACTGCAGTAACAATGGTTCAACTACCCGGGGGATCATCTCTCACACACACACACACACACACACGCGCACACACACACACACACGCACGCGCACACACGCAAGCGCTAGCACACACACGCTAGCACACACACACACACGCGCGCTAGCGCACACACACACACGTACACACACGCACGCGCTAGCACACACACACACACACACACGCGCTAGCACACACACACACACACACACACGCTAGCACACACACGTACAGAGTACGACTAACCCAAACCCCATCGGTCTTGCCAGGGACATTATCACCTCTCGTCCACTCTATAGCAGAGGAAGTTAGCTGTTCCCTCTCCTGTCTGAAAACATCTCAACCAAACGACACACCAATGACCTTTACCCAACACAGTAGTCATTCCAAAAACACACAGAAACAGTTGTAGGAAAGAAGGGGAAAAAATTCAGGTTTTCTAAAAAGTCAAAAAGGCCAGTCAGTGATAGAAAGCACACAGGGAGGTGTACGAAGACCCGAGTGGTCCAGATGTTGTCCTATCAGAGATCGGTCTACCATTTATTTTCAGTTACCTGAATGTGAGGTTCCATTTCTTCAGCAGTATCTCTCCATACTGCTCTCTCATCTCCAACATCATGTCAAACAGCTGAGACACCGGGAACCCGTAGCCCTGAAACAAGGGATGAGCAGAGGAGGAGGAGATAGACGGTCAACTCCCTCAACTTCACGCTGACCTCATCCAGGCTCGTGCAAAACACACACTAGATATTTAAAAAACACACAGTCTCTCTGCACACAAAAAAAAACAGACAAAAACACACAACATGTTCGACATGAACCTTTTCACACTCGCGCTGCCCTCAAAACAAGACACGCCGCTCGCTGCTCATCTGTTTGAACTTGTCAATTTCAAATTATTTTCTAACAAGTTTTATTTTCTAACAACAGTTTGAATTGATGTGTGTTCAGCCTCCTCGTTAATTCACATAGAAAGAAGTAGCCCATTTCACTGTTGAGGACAATTTATGTTTGAGGCTTTACTGAGCCGGACAAACTCCTCTCTATGATGAGAGCCAAAGCACTTCCCCAGTCGTTCCCCAGATCAAGTATGTAGATATTTGCGCATCTCCAGTCAGAAAATAACTTGCAAAGTTTTCCTCTTGCCACATTTTCCTCCTGGCACATTTTCCGGCTGGCATTGCCTTCATTGTTGTTTAATAACGTTGTTTAATAACGTTGGAAATGTTCCTATTAAACTGCCTTATCATTAAAACACGTTAACGTTATCGTTTCTGTATATGGTGTTGTCGTTTCTATTGTAGCACACCATATGTATGTAACGTACTTACTGTTGTATTCACGTTTTCAAGTACTGGTGACAAATCATGCATTCCAAATTATTTTTTTTAGGGAGGTAGATCAGCTTTAATATTGCAGATCAATGTAATTGTTCGCATCACTTCCAATCCCCCATATTTTATTTTGCAAATATATACACTACCAGTCAAATGTTTGGACACACCTACTCATTCAAGGGTTTTTCTTTATTTCTACATTGTAGAATAATAGTGAAGACGTCAAAACTATGAAATAATACATATGGAATCATGATAAACAAAAAAGTGTTAAACAAATCAAAGTATATTTTATATTTGAGAATCTTCAAATAGCCACCCTTTGCCTTGATGACAGCTTTGCACACTCTTGGCATTCTCTCAACCAGCTTCACCCTGGAATGCTTTTCCAACAGTCTTGAAGGAGTTCCCACATATGGAGTTGTTGGCTGTTTTTCCTTCAATCTGCGGTCCGACTCATCCCAAACCATCTCAAATTGGGTTGAAGTCGGGGGATTGTGGAGGCCAGGTCATCTGATGCAGCACTCTATCACTCCTGTTTCTCAGAAAGATGTTCTCCTTTTTAAGTTCCCTAATGTCCATTTCGATCTTAGTGACTGTCCCCCTTTTAGCTTTTTTGTATCTTTCTCCATTATCGCAGCTTTTTCGTCACTCATTTCAAGACTCGCCTTCAACTCTTTTATATCCTTAATTACTAATTCAAGTATGCCCAGTTTGTCATTTATCGACTTTAACAGATCGCTCTCCACACTTACCAGTCCCAGTGGTGAAAAGCATAAATCATCTGTATCAGTCGATCTTTTCTCTTGGAGATTGATTCTCCTCGTTTACCCTCCGTCATGTTTTGAGTGTTGCTTGTTTTCGTAATATCTGTCGATACATTTCTCTAGCCTTATGATTTGTTTTGTGTTATTATCCAGATGTAATGTTATTAACCATGAAGTGCTAATATTTAGTCTAACTTACAGCAGTGCAAATAGTCCGGGTAGCCATGATTAGCTGTTCAGGAGTCTTATGGCTTGGGGGTAGAAGCTGTTGAGAAGCCTTTTGGACCTAGACTTGGCGCTCCAGTACCGCTTGCTGTGCGGTAGCAGAGAGAAGAGTCTATGACTAGGGTGGCTGGAGTCTTTGACAATTTTGAGGGCCTTCCTCTGACACCGCCTGGTATAGAGGTCCTGGGTGGCAGGAAGCTTGGCCCCAGTGATGTACTGGGCCGTACGCACTACCCTCTGTAGTGCCTTGCAGTCGGAGGCTGAGCAGTTGCCATACCAGGCAGTGATGCAACCAGTCAGGATGCTCTCAATGGTGCAGCTGTATAACTTTTTGAGGATCTGAGGACCCATGCCAAATCTTTTCAGTCTCCTGAGGGGGAATAGGTGTTGTCGTGCCCTCTTCATGACTGTCTTGGTGTGTTTGGACCATAATAGTTTGTTGGTGATGTGGACACCAAGGACCTTGAAGCTCTCAACCTGTTCCACTACAGAACAGGGAGTACAGGAGGGGACTGAGCACACACCCCTGAGGGGCCCCCGTGTTGAGGATCAGCATGGCAGATGTGTTGTTACCTACCCTTACCACCTGGGGGCGGCCCGTCAGGAAGTCCAGGATCCAGTTGCAGAGGGAGGTGTTTAGTCCCAGGGTCCTTAGCTTAGTGATGAGCTTTGAGGGCACTGTGGTGTTGAACGCTGGCAGTGTGGTGCCAGGACAACAACCTCTCCCTCAATGTGATCAAGACAAAGGAGCTGATCGTGGACTACAGGAAAAGGAGGGCCGAACACGCCCTCATTCACATCGACGGGTCGAGAGCTTCAAGTTCCTCGGTGTCCACATCACCAACAAACAATTATGGTCCAAACACACCAAGAAAGTTGTGAAGAGGGCACAACAACAACGCTTTTTCCCCCTCAGGAGACTGAATAGATTTGGCATGGGTCCCCAGATCCTCAAAAGGTTCTACAGCTGCAGCATCAAGAGCATCCTGACCGGTTGCATCACCCCCTGGTATTGCAACTGCTCGGCATCCGACCGCAAGGCGCTACAGAGGGTACCGGTACCCCCTGTATATAGCCTCGTTATTGTTATTTTATTGTGTTACCTTTTTAAACTTTAGTTTATTTAGTAAATATTTTCTTAACTCAATTTTCTTAAAACTGCATTGTGGGTTAAGATCTTGTAAGTAAGCATTTCACGGTAAGGTCTACACCTGTTGAATTCGGTCCATGTGACAAATAGAATTTGATTATGATACCTTTCTCCCATGGACTTGAAATCCCCCAGAAATTAAATGAACCTCCCCACAAACCCCCCCAAAAATGGTTTCATCCAAATCTGGCTTTTGCACTATGGTTCGGCTAGGCAGTAGGCTTGTATTTGAGGTGATGATCTGTAAGGTGATGGTGAAAAATGGCCAAACTAAATTCATATTTTTTCAGGCCGCAGCCAACTTTGACTTTGTTTATTTGCATCTGATAGTGAATGGCATTCTAGGATTAGGGAGTTTTCGCTTGTCAAACATAAACAAACATGGCTGCCATCATAAAGCATTAAGCTGCTGTTAGCTTAGCATCTCTTTTCTTAACAATATTACATTTCTCCCTTGTGGATGTGTTCCGTGTGATGATGAATGATGAAGTTCGCATTTATATTTTAGAATAAAAGGTGAAATTGAGGAATAAAGTTGTGAAGACCTTTATTTCCCATCAGTACATTGTTTAGATGCATTTTTTCAGACAACGCTGGTTAGATGTTTTTTTGTTGCATCATACAGTATTCAGGCCTCTTCCCTTTTTCCACATTTTGTTACGTTATAGCCTTACTCTAAATTATTTTAATTTTTTTCTCAATCTACACACAATACTCCAAAATGACAAAGGCGAAAACTGGTTTTTAGAAATGTTTGCACATTTATTTAAAATAAAAAAACAGAAATACCTTATTTACATAAGTATTCAGACCCTTTGCTGAAGACTAGAAATTGAGCTCAGGTGCATCCTGTTTCCATTGATCATCCTTGAGATGTTTCTACAACTTGATTGGAGTCCACCTGTGGTCAATTCAATTGATTGGACATGATTTGGAAAGGCAACCACCTGTCTATATAAGGTCCCACAGTTGACAGTGCATGTCAGAGCAAAAACCAAGCCATGAGGTTGAAGGAATTGTCCGTAGAGCTCCGAGACAGGATCGTGTTGAGGCACAGATCTGGGGAAGGGTACCAAAAAATGTCTGCAGCATTCAAGGCCCCAAGAACACAGCGGCCTCCATCATTCTTAAATGGAAGAAGTTTGGAATCACCAAGACTCTTCCTAGAGCTGGCCGTCCGGCCAAACTGAGCAATCGGGGGAGAAGGGCCTTGGTCAGGGAGGTGACCAAGAACCCGATGGTCAGTCAGAGAGCTCCAGAGTTCCTCTGTGAAGATGGGAGAACCTTCCAGAAGGACAATCATCTCTGCAGCACTCCACCAATCAGGCCTTTATGGTAGAGTGGCCAGACGGAAGCCACTCCTCAGTAAAAGCACATAACTCCTGCTTGGAGTTTGACAAAAGGCTCCTAAAGACTCTCAGACCATGACAAACAAGATTCTCTGGTCTGATGAAACCAAGATTGAACTCTTTGGCCTGAATGCCAAGCTTCACGTCTGGAGGAAAGCGGTGAAGCATGGTGGTGGCAGTATCATGCTGTGGGGATGTTTTTCAGCGGCAGGGACTGGGAGACTAGTCAGGATCGAGGGAAAGATGAACGGAGCAAAGTACAGAGAGCTCCTTGATGAAAACCTGCTCCAGAGCGCTCAGGACCTCAGACTGGGGCGAAGGTTCACCTTCCAACAGGACAACGACCCTAAGCACACAGCCAAGACAACGCAGGAGTGGCTTCGGGACAAGTCTCTGAATGTCCTTGAGTGGCCCTGCCAGAGCCCGGACTTGAACCCGATCGAACATCTTTTCCATACATTTGCAAAAATGTCTAAAAACCTGTTTTTGCTTTGTCATTATTGGGTATTGTGTGTAGATTGATGAGGGGGGGGAAAAAAAACAATTTAATCAATTTTAGAATAAGACAGTAATGTAACAAAATGTGTAAAAAGGGTCTGAATGCGCTGAATACAAGTAACTGTCTGACTGAAGCAGTACTGTCTGATGTATGCAGTACTGTTGAGATGCAGAGTTGACTGTATCAGTACGTCTGACTGAAGCAGTACGTCTGACTGTATGCACAGACTGTCTGATGAATGCAGTACTGTCGACGGTATGCAGTACTGTCGACGAGCAGTACTGTCTGACTGTATGCAGTACTGTCTGCTGAATGGCATACTGTCTGATGTATGCAGACTGTCGAACTGTATGCAGTAACATCTGTTGAATGCCAGTAATGTCTGACAGAATCAGTAATGTCTGATGAAGCAGTACTGTTGATTGAATGCAGTATGTCTGATGAATTGCAGTACTGTTGACTGTATGCAGTTACTGTACGGCTCTGCGTACGCGACGAATGCAGTATGCTGAACTTTATGCAAGTACTGTTGACTGTAAGCAGTACTGTTGATGAATGCAGTACTGAATGACTGAATGCAGTACTGTCTGACTGTATGCAGTACTGTCTGACTGTATGCAGTACTGTCTGACTGAATGCAGTACTGTCTGACTGAATGCAGTACTGTCTGACTGAATGCAGTACTGTCTGACTGTATGCAGTACTGTCTGACTGAATGCAGTACTGTCTGACTGAATGCAGTACTGTCTGACTGAATGCAGTACTGTCTGACTGTATGCAGTACTGTCTGACTGAATGCAGTACTGTCTGACTGTATGCAGTACTGTCTGACTGTATGCAGTACTGTCTGACTGAATGCAGTACTGTCTGACTGAATGCAGTACTGTCTGACTGAATGCAGTACTGTCTGACTGAATGCAGTACTGTCTGACTGTATGCAGTACTGTCTGACTGAATGCAGTACTGTCTGACTGAATGCAGTACTGTCTGACTGAATGCAGTACTGTACGTTCTGTTGCTACTGTTCCCATCACGATGGAACGCTGCAGGGTCCACTCAACAATGACCACAAATATGTGAAAGGGTTAAATACACAGTCCTAATACACACAAAATATAAAATAAAAACACTAACCTGCAGTGTGTCTGCTAACAGCACAATGAGATTCTTCAGATCCAACACCAGGTCTGGGTCAGCGCAGTACGACTAGAGAGCGCAGAGCGAGAGAGAGAGCGAGAGAGAGTGACAGAGAGAGTGACAGAGAGAGCTGACAGAGAGAGAGTGGGGTTAAGGCTAACACAAGAACGCTATGCAAAATGTACGTACGAAGGGTATAAACTAGGCTTTAGTGGTGTGGTGTGTGTGTGTGTGTGTGTGTGTGTGTCTTACTGAGTGTGTGCGCAGGGCAGCGATGGTCTTGGACAGTGCTAGCTCCCACAGCTCTTCGACATAGGCCCTGTTCACCAAGCCCTGGGTAGTGTGGAGAATATGGTCCTCTATCACGAAGAACCTGGAGAGAGGGGGGGATAGAGAGGGGGGGGGGGGGGAGAGGGAGGAGAGAGAGAGGGTGAGAGAGTGAGAGGGGGGTGAGAGTGAGAGGGGGGTGAGAGAGTGAGGGGGGGAGAAAGAGGGAGAGAGGGGTGGGGAAAGAGGGAGGAGGGGGGAGGGGGGAGAGAGAAGGGGGAGGGAGGGGGGGAGAGAGAAGGGGGAGGAGGGGGGGAGAGAGTGGGGAGGGAAAGAGGGAGAGAGGGGGGGAGGGAAAGAGGGAGAGAGGGGGGAGGGAAAGAGGGAGAGAGGGGGGAGAAGAAAGAGGGAGGAGAGAGGGGGGAGGAAAGAGCGAGATAAATTAACAATGGTATGAATGTATAATGGATTACTAGAGTTTAACTTGCTAGGTAGAGCTTTATTATGGACAGAGCATCTATAGGGGACTGATCGCCAGCCCAGTTTTCAGACATATTGATCCCAGAAAGTTTCTCTTCCCTTCTGACTTGGCCAATGTATTTTATAAATTTGGCGCATTACATGTTAATCTTAAAATAATAAACATGTAATAAGTGTGAAGCAGAAAGTGAATATCCAACAGAAATTGGAAATAAATATATAGATAACACTGTTATGGTGGACTAAAATTAAAACAATATCTTCCAATATGGAGAAAGTTGTTTGTTTTGTTTTTAAACCTTACAATAGGGGTAAAAGCAGAACATTGTCTGAGGGTGATCCGTGTGTATTAGCAGTAGTGATTGGGAGAATCTTGAGAGTCATAGTTGAAGGAAACAGATATGGAGACTAGTGAAAGTAACAAAGTGAATGGTAATATTAGTGGCTTTCAGATAGCGCTCTAATAATGCAATATCTTAGTAACATGACGAACAGAGGGATTGAGCCTTGGGACTGATATTAAATTAGAGGCTGACATCAGGTGTTTGGGTTAGAGATAAGCTTAGAGGCTGACAGCTGGCGTTTGGGTTAGAGATGAGCTTACTGTGGAAAATAAGTAGTACTCACTGAACTCAAACAGGCTGTAAGGGACACAGTGGGACATTTGGGACAGAGGTATGAATAATTGAACAAGATGTGTTTTTTGACCATTTCCAATTAATATTTCTCAATTCTATAGTTTGGGTATCACCAGTGATTTAAGCAAGAAGGTAATGTCAACTAAAACAACAATAATGTTTCCATTATGTGGAACTGTGTCCAGAATTGAAGTAGATCCAAGTAAATGTTTTTAGTACCGAATATTGAGTTGATAAGCCAGAACCAACATTTTGAAGGTCCTAGCAGATTCGTTAAACAGGTTTCATATTTTGACTAGTTGATGTCACAGGAACATATGTCAAAGGTCAACAGGTCAAAATGATAAAAGACTACAAGAGAGGGGCTCTGGGATTGTTTACTGTAGAAGGTTCCTATTCAGCATAACGGGACACTGTATCATCTGGTGTGTCTTAAGTATAATTCTGTATATGCATGATTTTATCAAGACTTCCTGCCCAAGATGCAGTAAACTCAATTAAAGAGTAAGACTTTTTAGGACTGATTAAGATGTGCAAACTAAGTACATGATGGAATGTCCGCTACCAAGTAAAAAAAAAAAAAAAAAAAAACGTTTACCAATGATTCTGTATGAGGAAAGGATGCACCTTAAAAGGGCACACAAATTAAAATTGTCTGAAGTTTATTGTCTGAGTTTTGGTTGCACACATGTAAATTCTCTTGATATATACAAAAATGTACTGAAAACCCCAATGTCTGAAATATCTTTAAATAATGAGTCTGAGGTACAGGGAAAGAAAAGTCAAAAGAAACACTCACTTAAATGGGGTGGAATGACCTCTGACCTGACTTTCATGGGCTATGTAAACACTAATAATTAGGACTATTGCTAAATTATAAACTTCGGACCACGAGAAGAACAGAAAAAGAGTGTTGCCCCTAAATGAGGGACTCTCTAGTCTATTCCTTGAATTACCTTATGGGATACAATAAAGTTAAGATGGAGTCATCAAGGGTTGTAATTCTAATTCTATGTGTTATTTTGATTAACAGGCAGTGTTGTTGTACTCCTGAGTGGCGCAGTGGTCTAAGGCACTGCATCGCAGTGCTAACTGTGCCACTAGAGATCCTGGTTCGAATCCAGGCTCTGTCGCAGCCGGCCGCGACCGGGAGACTCATGGGGCGGCGCACAATTGGCCCAGCGTCGTCCAGGGTAGGGGAGGGAATGGCCGGCAGGGATGTAGCTCAGTTGATAGAGCATGGCGTTTGCAACGCCAGGATTGTGGGTTCGATTCCCACGGGGGGGCCAGTATAAAAAAATAATAATAATATGTATTCACTAACTGTAAGTCGCTCTGGATAAGAGTGTCTGCTAAATGACTAAAATGTAAATGTAAAAGTTTTTTTGTTTTTTTTACGCTTGAATCATGATGTGAGTCATGTGTCCAAAGGGGGAATTACCAGTCCCCTGGGGCCCTTTGGTAAATATGCAAATAGATTTTCTTCACATGCCTGCCTGTAAAAGGAAAAGGTATATGTTGGTAATGGTTGACAGTTACTCCAAATGGATTTAAGTTTTCCCCACCTCGAGTGATATATGAAGAAGTGTATTGCTGTTTGTTTTGTTTTTGTCTTGCTTCAATAACAAATCTCACCAGATTGGGTCTGCTGGATGGTCGGTATTTCTCCCTAAGGATTAGCCCTCTGACTCCCTGACCCTGTAACTCTGCGGTGAGGTCACAAAGGTCATAGGGGAGTATAAGCCAATTTGAGGGAAAAAATTGTTTAAACTGTGTGTTGTCATTCTCTTAGACATTTGTATTAAGAATATTTTGTAGTAATAATAATTTGTCATACAGTGAATAATTTGTAATAGTGAATAGTTTGTCTGGATTTCCTGAATCAGAAATGCACTAAAACTAAACTGTTGTTCTGGTCTGTCCTCTCTCGAGGTTATGGCGAAGGTGACCACAGATGGTATCTAGATGCATGGAAGATAATTAGACGGAGAACAGCGTGAGCCTCGACACCCCCTCTAACCGGCTGAAGTAATGGCGACAACGGCGTTCACTATGACCCTGTCCTTCACATCTACCGTGAGACCTGAGTCCGAGCCAGCAACCTGTACACACAGCATCCAGTCGAAGCTATCAACTGCCTTTTCTCTCAGGAGTGCGCATGGAGAGAGATCCCGTCCAAAACTTCTCTCATGCTGCTGGTGTACTGGTCGGAAAATGGAGAAAACATAAATGGACCGTAAAGGACAGTGGCAGCTAAGGTGAGAGACTCGTCTGCTTTGAAATCGTGAAATTATCAAGGGCCATCCACTATGAACACGTGCATTGGGAGGACGAACTGTAAAGCTATCGGAAGGAGAAAATGAAGACGCCAGGAGAATGAGTGCCGTGAAGGAAGGGGGTGGTCAACCGTGCCCCTTAATTGATTTAGACTTGTCCCCAAACAATTATTTGGGGTGTCAGGTTGATTGTGGAGGTCTGCACACAGTGAAATGTATAGTAATTTAGACTAAAACGGCATTGGAGATACCAATCTGTCGTTAACATGCCACTCGTGACAAAAGCTATAGCTGAAATCTCATTGCCAGAATCCATAAATTAAAATTGTGTAATGAAGCATATGTGTAACTGTATGAAGTGAAGGTCTTAAGTTAAAACATTCTACTGCAATGGTTTTACAAGTACAACCCAGAATGAAGGGTTTGAAAGTGTATGTGGTTTTATGCGTTGATTTTGTCTACTTACTACTTGGATTGTAGATTTTAGCTCTATTATGATGATTATGTATGAAATTAGAGTAACTCCCGTTAATAGAAGTATAACCTTTGATTTGCTATAATGTATTTTGATAGAAGCTCAACTCTAAATGGTTACATTAAAATGTAATGATAATTATCACAGATTGAGTGATAAGAGGAGGGAATGTGATGGAAAGTTGTATCATGCGAAGAGACAGCCTTGAAAATGTTAATCTTGTCTTTCGTGTCATAAATAATCCTTGGTTCCTGCCTTGGTAAAGATATCGGGGGGGGGGGGGGGCGACATGACCCGCCCCTCCTTAGGACCATCTGGCAGAACGCCCAGAATATGTTCTATAAGTTAAGATAGGAGACGGTGGAAGACACATACGGGAACCAACCCTATGTAACTTGTCTGTGTAAGCAGTATATACGAGATCTAACGGGAGACAGACGTGTCCTAAAGGTGCATCGAGTTTGTTGAAACCTCTCCAGTTAACTGTTAATAAAGAACGATTCATTTAAGATTTACTTCGAGTGTCCCATGTGTAGAATTTCCACGACACTATCCTATAGGCTATCTTCTGAATAAGATGCACTATTCAGAAGATATTCATTTATTTTAATTTTTGTAATGCCATTGGGAACCATTAGGTCTAGATGTGTTGACCATATGTTAGGCCTACCTAAAGGGTTCTGACCAGGAACACCAACACGTTCACCTGTTCTGGTTTAGCAACACTTTGGAGTGGAGTGACAATATTGCCGGCTGTACTGAACACTCGTTCAGACAAGAGCGCTTGTTCCACAGATATTTTGGGGTCGACGTTGGCCATGAGTGGACAGACCCTCATTCCCTCTCCACCAATGGGTCATCATCTCCTCCGATGGCATGTTCAATGAGGTAGGCTGGGAGCTCTGCGATGGCCCCCAAGGAAAAAACAACTAGGCCTAACAGTGTTTTATTCTTAACAGGGATTTAAATTAGATTGTTTTTGTGGCTTTTGTACCAATTTAAATAATAATAATATACAGCCTAGACTAAGCAGCAATGTGTGTAACTACAGTCCTTTATGCTGGGTACTTCCCACGTTTCATCTTAACGGGAATATGCCACCTCACATCCCGCACACCATCAATCCTGATTCAAATGTCTTCAAGACTGTGTGTGTTGGGGTGTGGGTGGGTGTTGGTGTGTGTGTGGGTGGGTTGGTGTGTGTGCGTCTTCTGCCAGCAAGTCCAGAGAAAGGCA